GAAACACGGCTGGCAGCACCGCCCGCACCGTGTGCCCGATTAAAAGGGTGTAAAGTATCACAGTCCCACCGCACCGCGCAAGGACGCTGCTCCAGACTGACGGCCCAGCCAAGGGAGCTGGAAGCCAAGGCAAATTCAAATGCAAAACTCGGGGGCTCAGCTCTCTGGAAAGAAAACCAGCCAGACCCCTCTTAAGAGAATTATTTGGGCCACTTTCCAAAATATTACCTTCATTCTCTCTCTCTGACTGATCAGAAATACACCGAACACTTAGGTTTCCACCAAAAAGAGGGAAATACTTCCAGGGTGATGGGACTTAAAGCTGTTCGGTTCAGTCACTCAGTCCTGTCCGACTCTTTGCGACCCCATGGAATGAAGCATGCCAGGCCTCCCTGTCCATCACCAACTCCCAGAATTTACTCAAACTCAGATCCACTGAGTTGGTGATGCCATCCAACCATCTCATCTTCTGTCGTCCCCTTCTCCTCTGCCTTCAATCTTTCCCAGCGTCAGGGCCTTTTCCAGTGAGTCAGGTCTTCACATCAGGTGGCCAAAGTATTGGAGTTTCAGCTTCAGCATCAGTCCTTCCAATGAATATTCAGGACTGATTTCCTTTAGGATGGGCTGGTTGGATCTCAAAGCTTTTAGATTAATGAAACAATGAATTTCAGATTTTCTTCAAATTTGAAAGATCTAGTGAAGGTCCGAGGTTTTCTGAAACCTGGGCTGACCTGCTCCCTATAGGGGAGATAACACCCCCTCTGCCCCTCCTCCCATCAGGGGATCCACAGAAACTGCCTGATCCCAAAGGCAAGAGGCAGCAGCATTTAAAAGAAAACAGAAGAGTATCTGAGGGCAGTTTTAGGTTCACAGTAAAACTTAACAGGGAGTCAGACGTTTCCCATTGGGCTTCCCAGGTGGCACTAGGGGTAAAGAACTGACCTACCAATGCAGGAGACATGGGTTCGATCCTTGGGTCAGGAAGATCCCCTGGAGAAGGGCATGGCTACCCACTCCTGTATTCTTACCTGCAGAATCCCATGGACAGAGGAACCTGGTGGGCTACAGTCCATGGGGTCGCAGAGAGTCAGACATGACTGAGCAACTAAATTGCAACAAACTTTTTCCATTATGCCTCACTGCTCCATTCATGGAGCGCCCCCGCCCCCCCCGCCATGACCAGTATTCCCCATCAGAGAAGAACCCTTATTAAAGTCCATGAACCCACGGTAATGAGTCATTATTACCCAGATTGCACGTTCACATCCGCGTTCCCTCTTGGTGTTGTACATTCTATGGGGGCTTGGTCAGGTGTACATGAATTCACCATTAGTATCATCCGGAATAATCTCACTGCCCTAGAAGTCCTCTGTGATCCACTCATTCATTGCTCCCTCCCTCCCACCGAACTCTGAACTACTAGAGATCATTGACCTTTTTACGCCACAGTTTTGCCTTTTCTAGACCATCAAGGAGTTGGTGAATTAGTCAGGGCTTTCCCTAGGATCTTCCCCAGGGGCTTAGTTGGTAAAGAACCTGCCTGCAATGCAGGAGACCCAGGTTCGAGCCCTGGGTCAGGAAGATCCCCTGGAGAAGGAAATGGCAACCCACTCCAGCATCTTGCCTGGAGAGTTCCATGGACAGAGGAGCCGAGCAGGCTGCAGTCCATAGGATCACAGAGTTGGACCAGGCAGAGTGACTAACTTTCTCCTGAGAAGCAGAACTAGTAGGATGTGTGTGCGTGTATACAGGGGGAAGGGATTTATTATAAAGAAAAGGCTCATGTGATCACGGATACAGAGTCCAAGGCTGTCATCAGCTGGCTGGAAACCCAGGAGCGCTGATGGTGAAGCTCCTGCCCGGATACCGGGGCTCCAGATGCGGGCAGGGCAGGTGTTCCAGTCTGAGTGTGAAGATGGGAAGAACACCAACGTGTCCCCTTAAGGCAGTCGGGCAGGAGGAGCTCCCGATCAGCCCTTGGCTCTATTCGGTCTTCAACTGATTAGGTGAGGCCCACCCACACTGGGGAGACGCTGTTCTTGTTCGGTCGCTCAGTTGTGCCCAACTCTTTGCGACCCCATGGACCGCAGCATGTGAGACTTCCACGTCCTTCACCATCTCCCAGAGTTCGGTCAGACTCATGTCCACTGAGTTGGTGATGCCATCCAACCATCTCACCCTCTGTCATCCCCTTCTCCTCCTGCCTTCAGTCTTTCCCAGCATCAGGGTCTTTTCAATGAGTCAGCTCTTCCCATCAGGTGGCCAAAGGATCTGAGCTTCAGCTTCAGCACCAGTCCTTCCAATAAATATTCAGAGTTGATTTCCTTTAGGAAATTTAGTTGATTCCCTGGTTTGATCTCCTTGCAGTCTAAGGGACTCTCAAGAGTCTTCTCCAACACCACCTTAGAAAGCATCAACTCTTTGGTGCTAAGCTTTCTTTATGGTCCAACTCTTACATCCATACACAACTACTAGAAGAACCACAGGTTTGATTAGACAGATCTTTGCTCGCAATGCGGTGTCTTTGCTTTTTAACATGCTGTCTTGGTTTGTCACAGTTTTTCTTTCAAGGAGCAATGTCTTCTAATTTCATGGATGCAATCACTGTCCATAGTGATTTTGGAGCCCAAGAAAATAAAGCCTGTCACTGTTTCAGTTGCTTCCTCATCTACTTGCTATGAAGTGATGAGACTGGTGGCCATGATCTTTGTTTTTTGAATGTTGAGTTTTAAGCCAGCTTTTTCACCCTCCTCTTTCACCTTCATCAAGAGGGCAATCTGCTTTACTCATTCCACCACTCAAATTCTAATCAATTCAGAAACACCCTCATAGATACATCTAGAATCATGCTTGGCCAAAAGTCGGGGCGCTTCATGACTCACACAAGTTACCACTTATAAGGCATCATACAGAATGTGGAATTTTCGGATGGGTTTCCTTCACTGAATGATGTATGTTTACCTTCCCTCCATGTCATTTGAATGCTTGAAACTCATTTCTTTTTAGTGCTGAATAATATTCCACTGCATGGACAGACCACAGTTTACTCATTAACTGAAGGGTATCCTGGTTTCTTCCAAGCCTTGGCAATGACGATACAGCTGCTATAAACACCTATGTGCAGATCTGTGAGTAGACGCAAGTTTTCAACTCGTTTGGGTAAATCCAAGGAGCATAATTGCTGGATCAGACCGTAAGAGTGTGTTTAGTTTTGTGAAAAATCATCACAAACCATCTTCCTAAGTGAAAGTGAGGGTCGCTCAGTCATGTCCAACTCTTTGCGACCCCTTGGGTTATACTTTCCATGGAATTCTCCAGGCCAGAAGATTGGAGTGGGTAGCCTTTCCCTTCTCCAGCAGATATTCCCGACCCAGGAATCAAACCCAGGTCTCATGCATTGCAGGCGGATTCTTTACCAACTCAGCTACAAGGGAAGGACCCTCTTCCTAAGTGACCGCCCTATTCTGCGTCCCCGCCAACAGGCAGTGATGCTGCAGAAATAATTTCTCACAGAACCAGCGGCAGCCTGCCGTGGAGACTTGCTGTCTCCATTCCCATTCTGCCGGCTGCCTGCTAATTCACTTCGATCATGTTCTACTCTCTGTGACCCCGTGGACTGTAGCCCTGCCAGGCTCCTCTGTCCATGGGATTTCCCAGGTAAGAATTCTGTCGTGGGTTGCCACGCCTCTTCTAGGGGATCTTCCAACCCAGAGATCGATCCCCCGTCTCTTACATGTTCTGCATTGGCAGGCAGGTTCTTTACCACTAGCTCCACCTGGAAAGCCCCAGATTCCCTTCCTATACCTCCCCTTCTCCTCTATCCGCTCCACAGGGGGACAGACGTCTGCAGAGTTCTCTTCCCCCAACCCCACACGGAGCACCCTCACACCCTCCCCCAGCTGCCCGCCCTCTGAATCCCGCACCATCATTGGTGGGTGAGCTGTGCTCAGTCAGCGGAGCTCCCATGGACACCGGGCCTCTGCGCTTCTGGAGCTTCTGTGCCTGGACATCCCAGCCCAGCTCACACAGAGACCCCCAGCCCGTCCTCCCATCCCCACCACTCACAGGCCTTGCCCCCTCCTCCCCTTGGCTGCCCCAAGGGCCAACTCCCCCTCATGAAGCAGGTGCCTGCACTCAAGGGTGGCAGGAGCCGACCCCTCCCCGTGGGGTCCTCAGACAGGGAGGCAGTCTCTGCCCACCCATGCGGTCCCACATCCACGAGCTCAGGGGGCCAGGAAGCAGCACCTCCCATTGCGCCCCCCGGGACCTGTCAGGCCTGGGACCCAAGAGCGAGGGGGCCGAGCGGGGTGTCCGCTCCATGCCCCTGAAACGAGCCTCCCCAGCAGAAGGCAGACCCTGTCCCCTGCCCCCTGGGAAAGCCTGCGGGAGGGCAAGGCAGGCTTCCCAGTTTCACTCCACGGATGACTGTGTGTTTTGGTTTCACATTGTGATTTATGGTTATAAACTGATGGCATTTCCAGCTGAAATTTATAGAATGTTTTTAAGTTCTCCATTTGAGTTCTCATGCACTTTATCATTTCCTTATCTCAGTAAGGCAGCTATTATTTGTCACAAGAAGCAGAAAATAGTAGGAGGTGATGAATTCGGTAAACTCACAGCAGAAATTAAACCCCAGGATGTCAACTGGAGTCCAAGGAGTGGAGTACACTCTTTCTCCGGAATCACACTTTGTTCCCTGATCACATGGCATAAATGTCACCTCCCCAGAAAGATACGCCCTCCCCAATTCCTCTCGTCACTGCCACACTCTTTTCTTCTGGGCACAACTGTTTCTGCCTGTCTTGCCCTGGTCTGCCCTTGTCTCGGTGCATCCGGCTATAGCTAGCACTGCCGCGAACAGTCATCTCGGCAGTCTGACCAGGTGGGTACTGCTGTCATCGTGCTTTACAGGTGAGGACACTGGGGTGGAGAGGGGGCAAGAGAAGGGGGTGGCCAGGAGCGGAATGCCGGAAATCAGGCTCAGGTCCGCGCGGAACCACAGCCGAGAGCCCTCCGCCCCCGCCAGGATTCGGGCTCTCCGCTAGGGGGCGCTGCTCCCAGACGCGGCCGGGGGTCCTCCGCCTCCCCCCTGCAGACGCAGGCCAGGAGCCCAAGGGGGTCGCGGGCACACAGAGGGGCCGGGCACACAGAGGGGCCTGCGTCCCCAGCGGGGGAAGGGCAAGGCAAGTCCAGTCCACTGGCGGGCAGAGCCCAGCCAGCGGCGGCGGGCTTGCCGTGGGCGCTGCCTGCAGACGACTGCGAGGGGCTGCGTCCCCGGAGCGCTCCACCCGGGGCCTCTGCCGCGCGCGCGGCACGCAGAGGGGGGGCCGGGAACCCCGAAGAGGGGTCAGAAGAGCCTCTGCTAGAGGCTCGCAGACTCCTCTTTCTTCCTCACGGCTGCACCCGCTCAGTGGGCACAGAAACGGAACTCTCGAGCCGCCCTCCGGGGCACCCCCGGGGCGGCGCTCAGCCTGGCCCGGATGCCATGTCCCCTCCAGCGCGCCTGCCACTGGCGCCACACAGGCGGCGTTCAAGGGGAATCTGCTTCCCAGGTGCCTGCCGCCGCCAGGCCTGGCAGAAAAGGACTCAGGTCTGACGGCAGAGCCTCACCAACTGCCAGGTTGGGGCATTCTTCCAGGACCAGGGCGTGTCACCACTAGAGCCATCACGGGGACCCGGCCGCGTGCTCCAGGGATGGAACGTGCACCCCCGCAGCGAGGGGCCAGGCGGGCAGCTGATAAGGACGGCTGCTCACCCAGCGTCCTCCCGTGCTCGTTGAAGGAGCTGAAGGAGGCGCAGGTGTGTGAGGCTTGGCTGCATCCTTCCAGCAAACACACCGCCTGCTGGTGGCCCTCCTCCACTCCGGGTGCGGGGACAGGGTGGGGGTCACTGCGACCCCGAGGCCACCACAGACACCAGAGTCCGCACCTACAGAGCGGTTTCCCAGCCGCTTGGCCGGGACCAGGGTCAGAGCGTCTGGCGGGACAGGGGGGCTGGGTCCAGGTCCCATCAGGACATATCACTTGAGGGTTTCCTGATAGTGTGTCGAAGCTTTGCACGGGAACAGGGGCTCTGTGCAGTCCTCTCCACGGGCACGGCCGCAATGCCCGTCCTCTCCCAAGGACAGCTCCTTCCCCCCACTCCTTACCTCCCACATCTGCTGCTGCCGGGACCTTCACTGTAGTTGCAGATGTGGCCCGTGAGCTGAGACATCTCTGCACTCCCTTTGCAAATGGACTCTTATGGGGCAGCACATGGAGCCAGCAAGGGACACCCGGGGGGCTGGCCTCATTCCACGGAAACCAGGGACCCCCGCCGTCCAGCCACACGGGTGGAGCGCCGGGGCCGGTGTGGGGACTCACCTGTGGACCAGTAGGCACGCTGCTCACAGGCACTTTCTCGTGTCCCCAGGAAGCTCCTATCGTCAGACAGCCTGAAATTACAGAAGGAAGGTTTGACACCAAAAAGCAAAATGCCTGGAAGAAGGATCCGGATACCCACTAACCCACCAGTTTTCCGGAAGAGCAAGCTCCCAGTGTTGCCCTCTGGGGAAGGTCATGTGATTTAGGAAAGAGACCTTCTGAGGCTGTGGCTGCCTGGGCCCCGGGGTGCTGAGATATCTGACTCAGCACTCTCACTGTGAGGGGCGGCGAGCGGAGAGACCACCCTCCCCAGTGTGGTCCGGGCTCACGCAGCCCCTCCAGGGCCGAGCAGAAGGAAAGTGCTGCGGAAGGTTGAGCGCACTCCGCCTGACTCCCCAGCCGGGCCTCCCGGCTTCTGATTTAGCGCCCTCCTGGATCTCCAGCCACTAAACAGCAGATTGTGGGATATTCCAAGCTTGTAATTCCATGATCCAATTCCATACGGAAAGTTTCTATACCTCTGTGCACTGTGCTTAGGCACTCAGCCGTGTCTGACTTTTTGTGACCCCGTGGCCCAGTAGCTCACCAGACTTCTCTGTCCATAGGATTCTCTGGGTGAGAATACTGGCACGGGTAGCTATTTCCTTCTCCAGGGGATCTTCCCAACACAGGGGTCAAACCCCAGTCTCTTGCATTGCAGGTGGATTCTTTACCATCTGAGCCACCAGGGAAGCCTACCTCTTTCTCTAATCTAGCTCTATTAACATGCCTCTATGTGTATCTATATCTGCTTTGTTTCCTTAGAGAAGCCCAACACACAGGAGCACTTCCAGGCTCTGTTCCCGAGGCTGGGGAAGCCTGTTGAGGGTCTGGGGGCCTCGCACCATGCCTGCTCCCTTTCCTTGGCCTTCTCGGAACCCCAGATTTCCTGGGCTTCCACCCCAGGGTGTCCACGCCTTCCAGGCAGTGGCAGTGGCAAATGGCGAGTTCCAGTGAGGTGAGGCCCACAGTCAGGCCGCGTGGCCTCCCTGCCGGCTACCAAGGGGGCCTGGGGGCCACCGTCAGGTTTCAGAGGGGACGGTCTGGTCACCTGCTGCAGCAACACGCATGAAGAGCAGTCTGGTGAGGGACGCACCTGGAGCAGGGTTTTCTGGGAGCCGGCCTCTGGCAGGACAGGGACCACGCGTGTGCAGCCGTGGGAGGGCGGTGTGCGTGTGCCCATTTCCAGTGGCCCTTCCCTGCCTGTCCGGCGGCCCCTCCTGGAATCCTGGCCTTACCCCCTGACTGGCCCTGATTCCCCCGAGCCTTAGGTTCTCACACTGGTCTTTAAGGTGAAAGCTGACCCACCGGGGCTTGGAGAGGTGCCCTCCGCTTTCTTCTGGTCGGGGAAAAATCACCGCCGCTGTAGTAATTTGCTCCCAGCAGTGGCCGAGCAGCTGTCTAAATTTCCAGGGTCACTCCTTGCCCCGCCTAAGGGGCCCCGGGTCAGGTTTCAAATGAGCGCGCATTCCTGCACTAACCCAAAGCAGCCTGCGGCCTCCGCGCACTTGTAAAGATGGATGTGTCCCCCTTCGCACTTCGGACACTTCAAAGAGCTGATCACGGCTGACAGGACGCTTCCTGAAACTTCCCCCAGCCGGGCGGCTCTCCTCCTGGGTGTCGAGAGCGCTCAGGTTATCGCCCGGCTGTCTGGCGGGGCGGCGGGGGCGGCGGGCTCCGCTCCCCGTCCCCCTGCACTTGTTAAAAGTAATTAGTGTTTGCACCCGTGTCTGAACTTTGATTTGTTTCCAGGATGGGGACGTTGATACTCCTTCTGCTGGCTCCATAAATCACACGCGATTAAGTTACACTGTGTTAAAGTGTCGGAAACTCCTGGCTTTAGAGGAGGGGGCTGCCTCCTGCAAGGGGCAAGGCTTGGTGGCCTCCCTGGGCTGCCGACCCACCCTCTCATCTGAGAGGGGCCGCAGCAGACCCCCTGACAGCCCAGGGCTGAGCCCCAGGGCCCCTGGGGGAGCTGTGTCTGCATCACGGTCCTCTCACGGGCAGGGAAACCCAGCCACAAGGAGTGGGGTGCCTTGCCCCCTTCCCCCACAACCAGCAACCAGTACCCAGGGCCTCGGAGCCGACCTGCTGCCCTCAGCGCTGGTCAGGGTGTCACCGTTGCCTGCTGTCCCTCACCAGCTCCCAGATGGGGGGGGGCCCACACCAGGCTGCACCCCCTGCCCAGGGGACCCAGCCAGCCCGTCTCTGGTCCATGGGACCAGAAGAAAGGGCGCCCAGCATTTCCCAGTTGAGTTGACATGTTGCTGTGAAACGCATGTGCTGAGTTCCTTCAGTGGTGTCCGACTCTGTGACCCCATGGACTCTAGCCCGCCAGGCTCCTCTGTCCGTGGGACTTTCCAGTTAAGAATACTGGAGTAGGTTGCCATGTCCTCCTGCAGGGGATGTCCCCGACCCAGAGATCTAACCCGTATCTCACTGTGTCACCTGCCTTGCAGGGAGTTCTTTACCACTAGGGCCGCCTGGGACTGAGAAATGGGCCAGGGCCCGATCAGAACCAACGGGAGGGAAGAGAATCGGTCCAGGCTCCCACCAGGGAGGTGAGGTCCTCCTGCTGTGCCCCAGCCTCTGAGCCAGTTTTGGGGGTTCTGACACCATCCTCCTGAGGCCTCGGGGCACGAGTCAGGGGAGACGGGTGAACGCAGAGAACAGCAAAGCAGAAGGGCTCATCTGGAGGTCCTGCTAGAAGGACACCCAGGGTGCGGGAGGCCAGGCCTGCTGCACGCTTGTAAGTTCACATCTGCATCAGCCAATGGGTCCAGGTGTGGTCCCTCGTATAGCACGCGAGCCACCCAGGAGCTTCCCAGAGGTGGACGGAGGATCCACCGTGAGTCCAAACTGAGCTTCATGGCACGGCTGAGTCCGCATTTACTTTGGGTCTAAAGTACTTTCTTCACTGATTTGCAATCTCGGGTTTGCAATGTAGTGTTTCTCCTGTGATGAACTTGCTGACATCTTTGTGGAGAATCCCATATGAACCAGGGAGAGGTTTAAAAACAGCAAGAAAATGAAGTCTGCTGCTTAGGTCAGATCAGGAAAATCATACAAATTCTTTCTGGTGCTACTTTTATCCAGTTAGTTGTGAAAGCTGCTGGTAAGCATTGTGGCTATTTATGCAAACACTGGTAACATGGAAGCCTGGCTGGCATGGTTGGGTTTGGATACAGGGCCGTCTCAGCGCAGATGCTCCCAGGTCAGTACTTGGTGGCCTCTCAGAGAATCGCTATCAGGAGGCTGCAAGCAGGAGGCAGAGGCCCAGGAGGGAGACTTCACAGGGCTGGAGGCGGGTGCCGGGACCAGCACTCGGGGCAGTGGTGGCGGACGTGGACACACAGGACCCACGTCTCATTAACGTGCACAGCTCTTGGCTCATAAAAACGTCATTTGTCGATTATTTTCACAACATATTGCTAAAGCTGGATGACACACTCATATAGATTCGGGGCTTCCCTGGTAGCTCAGTTGCTAAAGGATCCGCCTGCAATGCAGGAGATCCCGGTTCAAGTCCTGGGTCAGGCAGATCCCCTGGAGAAGGAACAGCTCCCCACTCCACTATTCCTGGGCTTCCCTGGTGGCTCAGCTGGGAAAGAATCCGCCTGCAATGTGGGAGACCTGGGCTCGATCCCTGGGTTGGGAAGATACCCTGGAGAAGGACAAGGCTACCCACTCCAGTATTCTGGCCTGGAGAGACACAACTGAGCGACTTTCACTTTCATTTTCATCTCATTCTGTACATGAGACATGAGGTATATTTAAACTTACCTTTGCATAAATTCAGACATTCTTTTTAAAGATGGAGAGAAGTCCAGACCCTCAGGCTTAAACTTTGTCTGAAGGAGGCGAATAAAAGGCACATTTAAATGCGTCTGCCCACGCACATAATTAGAATTCTGCTACGATTTTGGGTGTTACTAGTAAAAACAGCACCAGTAATCCACTATGCCTCTTTGCAGTGTCGATATGGTCTGTATCGCCCAAGGAAGAAAAGGCTGATGGGTGAGGTCATCCCCAGAAACCCAACACCTCTAAATGGTTTATTCTGAGGTGGCCGGGTCTCTTTTCAGGGATTTACCTTAATGATACCATTCCCGGAGAGTCTGGTTTAGATCAAATCAGGTTAAAGATCATGACTGTCAAAAGATGATGTCATCAGATCTCGTTACTAGTAAAGTCAGGGTCATCCTGAGTACAGAAGCAGGTTGGAATTTGGGCTCTGTTTACCTTAAAACCTGCTCTAAAACATAAAATCCCAAGTGATATAGAGACAGCTATTGCAACATAATAGCTTGGAAACTGCTGGCATTGCTTGCCTAGAACCCAATTTGCAAGGATCTGCCAGTCTCTGTATTTTATACAAGGGTGTACTGAATCAGAAGTAGCATTATATCTGTTACTAATGTATTCAGTCAGTTAGTGAAAGGCAAAGGAGAAAAGGAAAGATATATCCATCTGAATGCAGAGTTCCAAAGAGTAGCAAGGAGATATAAGAAAGACTTCCTCAATGATCAATGCAAAGAAATAGAGGAAAACAATAGAATGGGAAAGATTAGAGAGCTCTTCAAGAAAATTAGAGATACCAAGGGAACATTTCATGCAAAGATCGCCTCAATAAAGGACAGAAATGGTATGGACCTAACAGAAGCAGAAAATATTAAGAGGTGGCAAGAACACACAAAAGAACTGTACAGAAAAGATCTTCATGACCCAGATAACCACGATGGTGTGATCACTCACCTAGAGCCAGACATCCTAGAATGTGAAGTCAAGTGGGTCTTAGGAAGCACCACTATGAACAAAGCTAGTGGAGGTGATGGAATTCCAGTTGAGCTATTTCAAATCCTAAAAAGATGATGCTGTGAAAGTGCTGCACTCAATATGCCAGCAAATTCGGAAAACTCAGCAGTGGCCATAGGACTGGAAAAGGTCAGTTTTCATTTCAA